CCTACTGTCTGTATTTAATAAAATCACTTCTTATTTAGTAATTTACTCAGAGTATGTATTAATACCTGGGGGAGCAAACAGCTGTGCATATCTCTCTATCAGTGTTATAGAGGGTGAACAATTTATGAATTTGCCCCGCATAAGCTTTATACAGGGTAAAACGGATTTATCTGGGTTTAGACTCCATTGGGAGTTGGGCATCTGAGTGCTAAAGACAAACACACTACTGTGAGCTGTCTTCAGGTAAACTTGCAGCTTTGGGACAAGTGATTCAGACCCTGGATCTGTGTCTGGAGCCAGACAGGAGTGTCTGGCTCAGCAAGACAGGGTGCTGGAGTCCTGAGCTGGCAGGGAAAACAGAAGCAGGGGTAGTCTTTGCACATCGGGTGGCAGCTCCCAAGGGGGTTTCTGTGATCCAACCCGTCATAGGTGGCATCAAATTTGGGCATCCAGGCAGCGGTGGTCAAGGAGTCTTCTCATAGCCTGCTGGACATTTTGACACCAGCGGGCCCCTCGAGGGTGGCCCTGCCACTCAGTGAGGCTATCATGGACCTGGTTACAGTTCTGTGGCAGACCCCTGTTTCCCTTCCCCCTATGTCAAAGCGTATGGAGCAGAAGTATTATGTGCCAGCCCAAGGTTACGAGTTCTTATACTCACATCCCCCTCCAGGGTCCCTGGTAGCATTGGCCACCAACGAAAGAGATTGCCAAGGGCAATTGGGGGCAACGCCTAAGGCAAAAGACTCCAAAAAGTTGGACTTATTTTGCAGAAAGGTCTACTCTACTGGAGGGTTGCAACTTAGGATGGCAAACCAGCAGGCACTGCTGGGTTGTTATGTTTTAATATGTGGGATGGCATGCACAAGTTTAAGGATCTGCTCCCTCAAGAAGCCAGGCAGGAAGTCTCCTTGCTGGTTGATGCAGGGAAAACCATAGCGGCCCTTGACGTGACTGATTCTGTGGCCAGATCCATGGCCTTCGTGGTAACCATGCAAAGGAGCTCTTGGTTACAGTCTTCTGGTCTTCCTCAGAGGTCCAGCAAACCCTCCAGTATCACCCCTTTGAAGGATCCTCGTTCTTCTCAGAGAAGATCAGTGCTAAGCTCCACGAGCTTAAGGATTCCAGGACAACCATGAAGTCCCTAGGGTTATATACCCCAGCGGCTTCTAGGAATCATTACAGGCCCCAGCAGTCTGCCCAGTACTTTGCCTTTGCCAGCTTCTGCCTTGGGACTGACGCATGCTGCTCTCAGGCACTCAGGGAGCTTGAAGCTCCCCTTTTGACACGATGTTCAAGGTCCCTATCCCAGTATCCCTTATATCGGATGCAGTTGCACCTCTGTTTTTGGACCGTCTGTCCCACTTCATCAGTATCACCTCAGACCATTGGGTGCTGTGCACAGTGGAAGTGGGATACACTAGTCTCCAGTTTGTTTCTACTCCCCTTTCCTCTTCAGGGACCCTTTTTACAAGCGACTCTTGGTCCAATAAGCCCAATCCCTTCTTCGGATGGGAGCCACGGAAGAGGTTCCACAAAACTTGAGAGGAAAGGGGTTCTACTCCCATTTTCCCTACCTTAAGGGTGAGCAATGGGAGGAGGGGGCAGAGAGGAGGAAACGGGGGGCACAGGGCCTCTGGGGGAAGAGGCGACCATGGTCCCAATAAGTTCCCTCAAGACCCACCTGGTTACAGCAGTGTAGAGCTGCCGGAGACTTCTGGGCCACATGGCATCATGCACTTACGTCGTGCAACACGCAAGGCTGCACCTCAGATCTCGTCAAGGATGGCTGGCCATGGTGTACTCAGCTACCTGTCACCATCTGGACTCAGTTCTCACCATACCTTTTTGAGTCCTTGCTTCCCTGGATCGGTGGCTGGACCATCGCACAGTTCATGCAGGAATACCCTTTTTGTGGCCCAAAACTTCAACGTCCCCAGTTTCAGATGCAACGGCACTGGGCTGCGGAGCCCATTTAGGGCCCCTTAGGACTCTAGGCCTCTGGTCACTAGAAAAGCTCTCTCTTCATATCAATGTCAGAGAGCTCAGGGCAGTCATCCTAGCCTGCCAGACGTTCCTGCCTCACACTGCAAACCAGGACACATGGGTTCTCATGGATAACACAACAGCCATTTTTACATCAATAGGCAGGGTGGGGCATGTTCTTCCCTGCTGTGCTGGGACGCAAGCTATCTGTGGGAATTCTGCATCGTGCATTCAATCCACCTCAAGCCTTCTCACCACCTGGGAGCACAGAACCAGCTGGTGGATCGCCTCAGCAGCTCTTTCTCCACTCACCACAAGAGGTCTCTTTGGCCGGGCATCACAAAGAACATTTTCCAACGGTGGAGGACTCCTCAGATAAATCTGTTTGCTACCCAAATCAACAGGATATGCGACCAGTTCTGCTCCCTACAAAAGCAGAGCCCAGGGTCTCTCATGGACCCTTTTCTGCTACCGTGGATAGATTGCCTGTATTACACCTTTTCTCTTATCCTGCTAATGCACAAGGTTCTGATTAAGATCAAGCGGGACTGGGACTGGGTCATTCTCATAGCCCCGGCCTGGCCCAGGCAACATTGGTTCACCACCCTATTAGGCCTCTCAGTGGAGGCCCCGCTCCCGCTTCCTTTATATCCTGACCTGATCTCTCGGGACCACAGCTGGTTGCTCCATCTGAACCTCAGCTCTCTTCATCTGACAGCCTGCAAGCTTCGTGGCTGAATTCTGAAGAGCAGGCTTGCTCGGAACAGGTTTGTCAGGTCCTGCTAGGCAGTAGGAAGCCCTCCATCAGAGCTACTTACTTTGCAAAATGGAAGCGCTTCTCCCATCTTTCCAGCGTGGAATTCCACCCCCAAGTTCTTCATTGCAGGTTATATTGGAATACTTGTTGCTTCTGAAACAGCAAGGCTTGGCTGTTTCTTCCATCAAGGCTGACGTTGCAGTGATGTTGGCCTCCCATCCCCCGGTCGACAATCAGTCCATCTTCCATCATGGTTATCTGTTTCCTTAAAGGTCTAGAGAGGATATACCCCCCCAGGTTAGAGATCCCATTCCTCCCTGGGACCTAACCTTCGTCTTATCAAAGCTTATGGGTCCCATTCAAGCCACTGGCAATGTATTCGTTAACTCACCTCTCCCGGAAGGTGGCCTTTTTAGTGGCCATCCCTTTGGCTAGAAGAATTTTGGAGATTTGTGCCCTCACATTGGAGCCCCTGTATATGATTTTCTTTGAGGATAAGGTGCAGTTGTGTCCGCACCCTGTTTTCCTCCTGAAAATGGTTTCACCGTTCCATTGCAGTCACCTGGTCATTGGCACACATGTTCTTGGCACACTACGCCATCACCCAACAGGCCAGGGATGATGCCATCTTTGGCTGAGCGGTTTTGCAGTCGGCATGTCCGTGAACTCCAAGCCCACCTCCTATACAACTGCTTGGGAGTCACCTACATTAGAGTAGACATGATCAAGAATTTGAAGAAGAAAAAATGATTACTAACCTTCCATAACTGTTCTTTGAGATGTGTTGCATATGTCCATTCCAAGACCCTCCCTGTCGGAGTTAGCTGAAAAGAAGGAACTGGGGTGGGGGTGGGGGGGCAGGGTCAGCAAGGCCCTTTATATTGACACTTTGAGCACATGGTACCTGAGGGCACCAGAGCCAACCTGACAGATACCTCTAGGGAAAAATTTCCAGTGACTGTGCTCGGGCTGTGCACACACCTATATTGGAATGGACATGTTCAACGGAGCTTGAAGAACAACAGTTACGGGAGGTTAGTAACTGTTTTTTCCCCTCCCACCAGAGGTTCTGTGTGCACCCTCATTGCCCCTCTTCCTTCTTTCTTCTTTTTTTTCTCTTTTAGGGTGCCAGTGTTTTAAACTGTATTGGGAGGACTGGTAATTATAAAATGGGGGTATTGTTGTGTTGGAAGATGTTAATGGCCACCATCAACTGGTTCTTTGCTCTCTACTTACCTTGCTGATTGAAGCTGCTGCTTCTGGTAACTGGGTGCTAGATACTCTGTGTCTCCCTTATTTCCCCCTTTTGGTTTTTCCAATTTTCACCAAAATCAGTAGGGTTCTGTTCATTGATGCCTAAAATATTTCCTGAAATTTTGGAATCAATTGGTTGAAATGTTGAAAAGTTACCACATTACAGACAAAAAAATGCCGTTAAGTGTAAGGCCTTGCAAGGTTAGTCAATAACAGCAGGTAAACATTTTTCACTGACATGTGATTTTAAAATTTTTTATTAAACTGACTATGTGACTTCAAAGGAGAAGCATGGAGGAAGAGAGGGTGGAGTCAAGGAGAGAGTTTAGGAATAGGGGGCTGCTTAAGAGTCCCCTGTACTCGAACAGGAGCCCATAGACCCCCCAGGCCCTGCTGGAATGACTGCTTTTCTAGTTTTATCTTGGTGTTTTCAGGACTCTCTCCATTCCCTGATGGCCACACTCAGCACTTCCAATCCATTCTTCATTCGCTGCATCAAACCAAACATGGAAAAGGTGAGTCCCACCCCTCGGGGGGAGGGAGGAGGGACATCTTCCTGAGCCCATGATGAGGATATGGGGAGAGAAATTCTGCCTCTTGCCCCTCTCTTGTGAGTTTTTTTTAAACTGAAGAAAAATGCATCCCACCTTTCGTATTGTGTGAAAAAACAAATACGCACGGCGTGTAAGAACTGTTCCCACCATTCTTTGTACTAACACAGCTCGGAAGCAGGACCCTGTGCATCGCCTGCAGTGGGACAAAGGTGGCGAGTGATTCCTGTTTGTTTTGGGAGTGGGAATCTGCTCTGGGATTTGGGGCATGTGTAGTAGACTAGGGGGTTGCACACTTCATACCTTCCGTAGGCTAAGTACATTGCACACATCAGGGGCTCCTTGAATATTCCATTTCCTCCCTCCCCATGTCCCTCCCCCTCTATTTCACGGACTCTCTGGGACTGCCCCCATCCCCTCCCTCATGCCAGGGACTCTAGTGTGTTCCTGGTTCCCCCATTGTCACCCTTATGCCAGGAGCTGAGTGTGCACTCCCATTGCCTTCCATACCAAGGTCCTCCATTTTGCCACCATGCCAGGTTTTCTGTATGTCCCTGCTACCCCTTCCTTCCATTCCAGGGTCCCCCATTCTCTCCTCTTGCCAGAGATTTGTATGATCCCTAATTTCTCCCCCTGCCAAGGGTTCTGTGTGCCTTCCATTTCTCCCATCTCCAGACCAGGGTTCCCGTTGTTGCTCTCCTCCCCAACCATTATTATCTCTCTTCTCTCTGTCTGGGAGAGAAGTCATTCTAGGTGTCAGCATATTAAAAGTGGGAGGATGGGCAGAGATGGGTTTTATTATGCTGGAAGGTGTTAATTTGTGTCATCTGCCATTTCTTTGATCTATAGATAATTGCAGAGGTGCTTGAAGTTGTGGCTCTGCTAAACAAATGTCAAGGGTTCTTTGTGTCCCCCATTTCCCACTTCTGTTTTTTTTTAACTATCCCAAAATCAAAGGCCTTGCAAGCTGGGCCAGTAAACTTCTCATTCACCTGTGACTTGTACAGCAGCACCCCTGAATGGGGATTTCTCTGCAGCATGTTGCACTATGGCCATGCTCCATGGTATCAGCTAGATTTGCTTTCACATTGCAATGATGTTTGTGCCTCTTTCTAATTTGCTGGACTCAGAAAATCTATCAGTGTTGATTCCTTGTCTCTTAGAGATGGCGGTAGCGAGAGAACAGACCAGTTTCTCCAGGTCTGGAGCCCCACATAGGAAGTGGGGGCAGGAGGGGGAGAGAAGGAGACAAACCTGTCGAAATGGGCCTTTTCCAAAGAGGGCCTTGTTGCAGGAAAAGTCCCCCTGCAGAGCTCTTTCCTGAAACAGAGAGGAGGATAAAGCTTCATTCCATTAACAGGATAGGAGTGAAGATGCTTCAGATTAGCTCTCTGTAAAGTTTCACCTTGACACTCAGAAAAGTGGCAGCAAGGAGGAGTCTTGACCAGACTAGATGGAGAACTTGGAGAAGGGCAGAATCTCTGTGTTGTGATGTCCATCAGTCAGTATCCTAGAGATAGTGTTTCTCTTTAGGAGCAGGGCCTGTTGCAAGCTCCTGCCCCAGTATAGAAGCTCCTTCCTGCCTTTTAGCTCCGTTCTTTCAGGGATTCATTGGGCTCTCACTTGGATTCTCACTCATCCAGTTGAGCTGTGAAGGCAGTAGGCATGCCTGCAGTTTTGCCTCTGGGCTGCTGGACACTACTGTTACATTTGATGAGCAGGAAGCCAGGTGCCCTCTCTCTTGTGATCCCCCAGCTGCATCAGAGCCCTCAGTTGAGAACAGTGTAATTTTCTGCATGAATGGGCTGCAGTGGGAGTGGAGGGAGCAGTGGCTCAGCACAGTTCATTGCCCACTTCCTTGCTAGACTCTGAGCTATGGAAGATGTTGCAGTTTGCTCTTGATATGGGTGCACCCAGCTCCCTCCTGCCTATGTTCCAGTGCTGAGTGTCTTTTTGTGGCAGTTGCTTGCCATTTGTGTCAAACTGGCCCATCTTTCAGCTGGGGCCCTTAACATTCAGGGTTAACTTCCCAGGGAGCTGTGGGTATGTGTCTGTGTGCCCCTTACAACGTTCAGATAAACAGACACTATGCCAGCAAGCAAAAGGTTAAGTCTGGTATTACTACTTGCTTAGATCTCTCTCTTTCTCTTGGTTTGTTTCTAATCTTGGTCTTCTAGGCACCAAACCTCTTTAACCCGGATGTAGTTCTAAACCAGCTCCGGTACTCTGGGATGCTGGAGACAGTGAAAATTCGAAGAGCAGGCTTCCCCATACGGCGTCTCTTCCCGGATTTCCTCAGCAGGTAATGGGTAACATGGAGGTGGGTGGTGGTATGTTTCTTTTCTCTATAATTTTAGTCACTGGCACTGTTCCCAAATTTTGGATGTCTTTTGTGTTGTCTCCATGTCAACCATATTATGGGGATAGTTGCAAGTTGGAGGTGAAAGTTTCTGGACTGGAGGTCAGTCCAACCGCAGTTGAATAAAGAACATGAAAAAGAAAAGTTCCCAGATGGGCAGATAAGACAACCTTGTGGGAGGATGAATGGGAAGAGGAAGGTTTTGAAGCATGTTAGAAATGGAGAGGATACTATCGTACATACTTTTATGTCAAGAGATTGTGTTTGGTTCTCAGGTACAAGATGCTCATGAAGAATCTGAGTGTCCCAGACAACACCAAGGCTGTGTGTGCACATTTCCTACAGACATATGACAGCACCAGGAAAGAGTGGCAGCTGGGTAAAAACAAGGTATTATCTCAGTGTAGAAAAAGGTCCATTGAGTGAGGGGAAGGAAGTAATTCCTGATGCAAGAGAGTTTAATTGAAAGGTGATATACAGAGGAGCACTCCAATAAACAGCAGGTGGAAGTAAACTAATGGCACTGAGTAGTCCTACCACTGAAAGTCACTGACTGAGCTATGCTGCTGACCTGTAATGTCTCAAATGCTTCCCGAATTATATATTTGGAGATAGATTAGATGAGACCCAACAGCCCTTTTCTTTCTCCCATTGGACAGCCCAGGATTGTTCCCTACTGTACATTTACTATTGCTTAGTCAAGTCTAGTTTTAAAGGACCCAAGCAGAACTAGCTTTGGATTTTTGGATGGACCTGCAAAACAATACTTTGCTCCCTTCTCATGTCCAGTCTAATTAACTCCTGCCCGCTGTGATCATGTCACTATGTACAGAGCCAACTCATGGATTTTGAGGTGGGTTAGTGAGGTGCTGCTTTGGTGTATATAAAGAATGTGTGTGGGAGGTCAGCTGGATTTTCAGGTTTGCATCAATCTCCTGCTACAGGAGCTTAGCTGCTGGAGTCTATGTAGTCATCAACATTTTTCAGGGAAATCTATCCATATGCTGAGCCTCCAACTCCGACAGAGGTTTGTTTCTGTTTCGGTGAATCTTAGCTCTTCTGTCTTGTCTTGGTGCTGATGTCTTCCAGGCACCGAGAGAGCTGGAAATAGTGCTGTTTGCATTAGATGTAAAGGAGAGAGAGCTGGGTGCTGTCTATGGGTTGTTGCCAACAATAATTATGTTTTCTGTCTGTCTGTCTTCCTAGCAGCTCCTCAAAGAAGTGGAATAGAATGTTGGAGAGGGTGGTTCCCTGTGGAACTCTACCTGTGAGGGATCTGATTGGAGAAGAGGGTTATCAATAACATGGCTCTGGGTATAGTCTGAGTGGAAAGATTGGAGCCACCTCAGCATATTCCCTCTAAACTCTGATACATCTTTAAGTCAGGACAGCATAGCCGTATGGTACTTTCCCATTCATAGAATCATAGAATATCAGGGTTGGAAGGGACCTCAGGAGGTCATCTAGTCCAACCCCCTGCCCAAAGCAGGACCAATCCCCAACTAAATCATCCCAGCCAGGGCTTTGTCAAGTCGGGCCTTAAAAACCTTTAAGGAAGGAGATTCCACCACCTCCCTAGGGAACCCATTCCAGTGCTTCACCACCCTCCTAGTGAAAAAGTTTTTCCTAATATCCAACCTAAACCTCCCTCACTGCAACTTGAGACCATTACTCCTTGTTCTGTCATCTGCTACCACTAAAAACAGTGTAGATCCATCCTCTTTGGAACCCCCTTTCAGGTAGTTGAAAGCAGCTATCAAATCCCCCCTCATTCTTCTCTTCTGCAGACTAAACAATCCCAGTTCCCTCAGCCTCTCCTCATAAGTCATGTGCTCCAGCC